CGCCGTAGGCACCGGCATCACAAACAGAAATGCCCACATCGGGCAACGCTGCGATCTCTTCCATGTCGGGCTCCTGCCAAATTCGTGATTTCTGCACATTCTCACCGAGAAAAAGACGACCTTGTTGGACCTGGAAACGACAAATGTCCGCTGTCCAACGCAGTAGTTCTCTCTCATCAGCTCGAAGTGCTTCGAGTTCATCTGGCCTCCAACTGTAGTTCATGTTCTCGTTGAAGACACTCCATAGGGTACATGGCCAGGCAATGTGTACCAGTAGGGGTCGATGACGTGTCACTGCATGCCAAACTAGATCACGACCTTCTTTCGTCTTCAAATCGATGCCTTCACGAAGGTCTATGGGTTGCAATGCATTCAACTGGTACTTGGAGGCCATGTCGGTCAGGCGTCCGGCGCCGGAGAAGATCTCGAAGAGATCGATCTTGGAATTGCAGACCTGAACATGTGGAGGTATGGATTCATATGTTTTCTTCTCAGCCTCATACACCTTTTTCGCATGCCGCAGATGTCCTGCGAGCCATGTGGAGTTTCCTTTCTTCATCCATCGTACTCCACGAGGTCCCAATCATAGGTCTCCTCGTCCTCCGAGCTGAGTGGGCGAGTGTCATCTCCACATTGAGGATCGCTTGGAGCATCCGGCGCCAAGCTTGCAACCATCGCGGTGGAGCTCCACTCCTGAGCATGGCGCTGATCCTCGATCTCAAAGTTCTCGAATTGCTGAGAGCCACAAAAAGAATCAGGCAACACAAACTCTGGGTCCGGTGAAAGCCAAACATGAGGCGCTGTGAGTTCTTGCCAAACATGTGACTCGTGAACTGCTGAAGGAAAACAATCAATCTGCACTGCAAGATGCCCACAAACCTTCACGATCGGTATTGCGATCCCAAGCGCCTGACTGTAGAGGCGCTGCTGAGGCAGGTCCAGCGTTGCCTGCAGTCGGCTTTCGAGCAGGTGATTACTGGCCAACAGAGGGATCTTGGTGTCGTGGAGGACGCTTGCCTCAATCAAACACAGGGTTGTAGTGGCGCCGTCAAAACCCGCAGGGATGTAGGACCGCTTGTGACTATGTTGGGGTTCTCCTTGGCCAAATTGGAACGCCTCTTCCTCAGGGATGTCCTTGATCATCAACCGGAACTTGCGGAGGTGTTGGACATGTTGCTTCAACCAGAGGGTAGAACAGCAAGTTCTCTGACATGCGGCATCGAGGATCATGAACCCGGTGTAATCTTCGACCTTGGTGGTCATGACCTCTGGAACCATGGTGGACTGGGGAACCTCTATGTGGCTGGTCATGAAGGTGAAAAACGCGCCGAACTTCTCTGACGAGTCCGCTTGTTCAGACTGCACGGATCCGTCAGCAAAACGAACTGCAAACACCTTTTTGCTGTCACCACCACCAGGCTTGTTGCCTTTGCCAGTGGCTTTGCCAGAAGCTTTCCCTCTGGCGGTGGAAGGAGCCGCAGGTGCACCAGGACAAACATCATCACCTTTCCAGTGACCCTTTTCACCACAGACCGCACAGTGTGAGGTGCGTTTGCGTTCTGCCAACGATCGCTTGCCGGTGTATTTTCTTCCCAAGGTCAGGCCTTGTAGTCGCCTGGCGGTCACGGTCAGCACTTCCAGGGCATTCGACAGCTCATCAGCATCGATGTCTTCCTCCTCCTCTTCACCGCCTGGTTCCGATTCGTCACCAGGCTCTTCCTGTGACTCCTGTGCTTCCTCCTCCTGATGATCGTTCTCTTGTTCCTCATCTTCTGGTTCAGCGGGTTGCTCATCGACCGTATCGGTCAAAAAGGTCTGACGCCGCTTGCTCTCGCCCTTGGCCTTGCCCTTAGGCTCACGAGTGGGCTTGCCAGTCTGAGGTGCCGGGCGATCAAAACGATCAAACTCTCTGTTGTATACCACTGCGGGGACTGGTCGATGCTCAGGAAATTGCACTTGGGCAGCTTCTTTGATCTTGTCGAAAGCCATGTCCTGACCAGTGGCTGTGAGAATGAGACGTTGGGCCTCAAGGGACAGCTGCATCCTGTCCAAAAGTCTGGAGCCGCGAGCTTCAACGTCGTACATGGTCGACACGTCGATGTTCACGCTCATAAGCGAACGTTCGACACGAGCATATCTGTTGCAGTAAGACCGAATCGACTCGTTGTTGAAACGCCGAACTTGCTCATAGTCAAAAAGGTATCTTCGCTTGAGGTATAGATGGTCTTTGTCATCAGAGGCTTCCTCAAAGCTTCGATGATATAGTCGACGCCACCCTTCGAGTTGATTTGACGGATATCAGCGAATTCGAGTTCTTCTTCTGCTTCTCCCTTGAGAGAGCAGTAGAGCATCAAAGCGGCCTCACGATCAGGTAGGTAGGAACGGATTTGCTCCCGCCAGACCGTCACCTTCCGCTCCCATTTGTTGAACGAACGCAGATCATCCTTTGTGTAGGACCAAACTGGCGGGGCCGGCGGTGTACCGCCCCGAAACTTCAATCCAGGCTTGGGTCCATGCGAGCTAGTCCAATCGGCATACTTGTCGGGCTTCTCGACCTTCTTTGGCTTGCTCTTGCGACGAGGTGTATGTTCGTCCCCATCGCCATCTGGAGGCTCATCATCACCATCAGGAGGGTCTGGGTCTCGACCAGTTGCCAGCTGCTGATGTTCCGGAACAGGCCGCAAGGAAGGTGGTGCGGCTGCATTCGAAACAGGCTTTTGGTTCGAAGGCTTCTTGCTATTCTTCTTTTGGCGTCTACTAAGTTTTGGGAGGGTTTCCATTGTGTCAGGATCAATTTCGGGGTCATCAGTCATCTTACTTTCGGAGGGTGTCCCTTCAGCATCTTCCCCATCATAACCTGAGGGTTGGGGAGAACTAAAACTCCAAGGTTTCTGAAACAAAGCTCCGCGCGGCTGAGACGAAGACGAAGAGCTTGAGGCGGATGGCGCTGGCTCACCTGCAGGAAAGTAAACCCATGTTCCGTTCGGTGTCGCAAAACGAGTGGAATCAACAGCATTGTAAAACTGTGCGCGTCCACAGTACCAGCATCGCCAACTTGCTTCACCAGTCTCATAGTATTCCGCACTGCCACACTTCAAACAAAGCCATTTGGCTTCCGAAACACTCGGCCCTGGATCTTCGCTCCTCTGACGGTTGCGACTCTTGCCATGCCAACTTGATGAGGAATCATTGTCAAACTCACCAAAGTGCTGGGGTCCAGAAGGTGAAGGCGACGAGTTGTGGTTTGTTCCGTTCGGAAACTCCGCTGCAGCAAACTCGCCTGAACCAGACTCTGCATGTGGCCATATGTCACTGTAATGCTCATCTGCATCCCACAATACGGAATCCGGCTCATCATCATCTTCCTGCCGTCCAGTCATGACAGGTCAAGCAACCGTGTGTGGAGCGGGCCCCGTATAGGGCTCCGCTACCAACACAACGTATTGCGTGCGTTGGCAACAGTTGGATACAATGCTATGTCAAGTGAGCTGCACAAAAACTTGGTACACTTCTCGAGTGTGCAGCTCTGCTCAAAACAACATGGCGGACGTCCTTTTCGCGAAAACGAGTTTGGCTCAGTGGCCAGCTTGAACATGAGGTGCGACGATCCGGAAGGTGGTTTAGCTCTGCATATCATGAACTTTCACAACCTCAAGCTTGTCCGCCTCGAATCCCCAATGCTCCAAAGCTTCTTCATCCAGATTCTTGCAAGGTCACTTCCTCGAAGTTGTCCCAATCTTCAAGTCCAAGAAGGTCGCTGACTCTTTCCTCTGCGCTCCAGGCTTCGCACTCAACCAGCCAGCCGTAGATTCCTTGCAGGCCCTCAGCTGGGAACCTTCTCCACCACCTTTGCTCCATTGAAGAGGAACGAGGCTCTTTGGATCAGCCTTTGCTCCACCTCTCCACCACCTTTGTCTCCCAGCCTGAGCAGACTCTAAACTGACGTTCTTCTTCTCCACCACTTCAATTGGAGATCGGGAGCTCACGAGAGACCAGTGGAATCTCGATCACAGCTCCGCTACCATCTCGCAGGGCTCGCTGCTTTTCTTGAGCTCTTGATGGCTTGAGAGTAAGCGTCCATCGCACGAAAACATGCAACTCCAAACAGGAACACATGAGGTGTGTAGTCTGGATTTCAGAATGCAACAAAAGCCAGGCTCAGAACTGGCAACTTTGCAGTGCAAATGTAGTGCGGGAAGCAGCTTCTGGGAACAGCAATTGTATGCATGCTGCAACACTTGTTTCAAAGACTGCGCTCCATGCAGCGAGAAAGCTAAAAACGTCGTGCTGCTGCGTGCATTGCAGTCTACCCACGGCTCCCCCATTGTCCATGGGTCGCAAACATGCACCATCCCAAAATATCACAGTGTGGGAAGTAAACTGTTCTATACTTGTTTCTCTTGTATATGATTGTCACCATCCTCCTCCTACTCCTCATCATCATCGTTCCCTTCTTGCATCTGCTTCCTGTCGTCTAGTTTTGAAAGCGCGATCTTTGTCATGATGTTTATCATGTTGTGAACTTGTCGGGACTGTTGTTCACACTGTTCCTGCTCGGCCGTGACACCGCATTACTGCGCAACACATTGCAGAATCGCACCCCACGCCTTGTAGACAGCTGGAACAGTAGAACACCAGTAACTTCCCAGAATCAGACGGATACATAGCAAAAACGGGTTTTCCAGCAGCCTGAAACTGCTAGAAAAGATGTTATATACTATATTCAGAGGAAAACAACTTTCAGTCTTTGCTCGAGATTGCCCGATCGAACTCATGAAGCATACACAGTTCCAGGTTCCATACTGTTCCTACATTTGGGTTGAACACTGCAGTACATGGAAGGCCACATCCAAGGTTCAAACACCAAGTGAGTTGGAGCAGATGAAGTGACATACTATATACTGTATACGTGGTGAATACTGTATACATCTGTATACTGTGGTTGTGACGCTTCGGTAAGTATTCACCACGTTTCTGTGTCGCTGTGTCGGCCAAGGGGCCATGCCACAGACTTTCTGCGCTGCGCCCTGAAAACCCCGGGTGCAGGCCCAACCGGCACCTACGCGAAGGAAATTGTAAACGAAGGAAAGTGAGTTCGATTATTTCTTTTTTGTTTGTCCGTTGTACTTGAAATAGTTCAAATTGAAATAGGTCTTTCGGATGGTTTCTTTTGGACAACCAGAAAGACTGCCTGTCTTGATGTATCCTGGAGGCAGTGATGAGATCTCTGGGTCAGGACAGAATTGCACACAGTCCTTAGGTAGACAGTCTTGTGAAACAGTCTTAGGTAAACATGTTTCTTCCGTTTCTTCTTTCAGCTGTTCGTCTGATGGTTTTTGTCTTTGCTAAGCGTCAGGAGGTCTCCATCTCAGACCGGCAGGGTCCAAATTGTCAAATGGGCACACAGCAAGGGTGGGGTCCCCCTGAAATGGAGATGCACACTGAACCTCGGTGCATTTGTTCTCTGAAAACATAAATGTGTTCCACAAACTGTTGGTGCTTTGTGATTGCAATTTCTCCCAAGGTGCATGGCAAGACTGCCCTGGCAGAACCACACTGCACTCACTCATATTCACGCTGCAGGAGAGCCTCACAACTTCAGTTACTTGATGTGATATGAAACAAGTCACTTACTGAGTGATGTTTGCCGTTTTCAGTTGCCCTTTCCGGACCAAACGTGTTTCGTCTTCCTTTCTTCCTCTTTCTTCCTTTACTAGAGAAGCTATTAGGAACAAGTGCCACGCTACTAGTAACAGGCGCCTTACTAGTAGTAACAAGAAGCTACTAGTACTAGTAGTCTCATAGGCCCGTGCCTTCCTTTAATTCGGTTCTACTCTGTGACTCCTGAAGCTGAAGAGACCAAGGCGCGTGGTGGGCGCCACGCATGCAGATGGATTGCCACATCCAGCCAACTCTCCAGGTGACGGTTCACAATTTGGGCCGTGTCTGCAGAGCACCTGCAAACAACCAGCCGGCGGCCATTCAACAAGCTTACTAGTAGCTTCTAGCTCAACAAGAACCGTGCGCTCCTTTGTCGACAAAAATGGTGAAATGGGGCCTCGGCCCGTCCAGCATAGCCCGGCGCGCAACTCCAACCATCTGGTGTCCGGGCATAACTCCTGCGAGATAAAATCAGTAGCGATCCCACCTAGGAGCAGTGGCCTTCACCCTAGTAGCGATGACCTCCAACCCAATAGCATAAGTAAGAGAACCGCCACAGGACAACGTTCAAGCAAACCAGCGTGCAAGGGAGGGAGGGTACAACGACCATTTTGACGATTTCGGGCGGTGAACACATCAAAGCGTTTGCTTGGTTTGTGAAAAAATCGTTTGCAAACTTTCCTTTTGAAAATTGTGTTTCTTATTGTGCCGTATTCGTGAGCAAGGTGACCAGTTCCCCACTAGGCTAAGTTAGCTAGTAACTAGGCGGATAGTTCACCCTTCAAGGAAACTCCTGCCGCCCTAAAGGCGCTAGATGTTTCGAAGAGGTAGCTGCCAAGTAGGACGCGAACGTAGTGCGTTTGCGCAGTTCTTGTCACTATCTGGGAAGGCGCTTTGAGCGCTTTAAATTCGGGAAGTTCCTTTCGGAAAGAACCGAAAAAATAGAGAAAGAAAAAGCTTCTAGGAACAAGGGGCATCGCTACTAGGAGCAAGGACGCTGCTAGGGGCTCCTGGCCGTACTACTAGGAACAAAGGGCTACGAACGGAACAAAGGGCGCTACCGCTTTGAACATCGTTTTCGTCTTTGTCTGTGTGCATCTTCGGCGCGGAGCGTCTTTTCGTCCGCCCCAACCGGTGTCAATCCTCGCAGTCGCCTTTTAGCCCAGGCTCAAGTGCCGAAACAACGCAAGTGGTTTCCTACTTGACGGCTGAAGCTTACTTGTTTCTAGTAGCTTCTTGTTACTACTAGTAAGGCACTTGTTACTAGTAGCGATGCACTTGTTACTACGTTCGCTTACTTGTTAGTAGCGTCAAAAAACTGTCTCTTCAGACCGTCTCCTGGGGACCTTCACCGGATCGGGACACGTGAGCAAAGTGCAGTTAGGCAACTCATCCGTCCAACTTCTCAGCGTGGGGAGCGTTTGGAAGAAACATCAAGCAACGCAATCTACAAACGGAACTAAGAAAAAAGCAATAAGCAGAACGGAAACAAAGAACTCAGATAAAAATAAAAATTAAAAAAAAACAAAAAAACTGTTATACCGTTTGCAAATGAACCGTTTTGAGCTCCCGACACCAAGGCCCAAGGGTCGGTGTTGTCGTCCGGGCACCGCGCAATGCCAGGGCTCCCCAGATACGGTGCCTGAGACGGTTTGACGAAGGATCCTTCGCAAAAAGTCCGAATTGTGTTTTGCTCTTTTGACCCTTTAAGAACACCAAACCTGTCTAATAGAACATGGATGTGCTTTCTGTTGCCCCAATCTCGAGTTTCTGTGCTTCAGTCTTGGCATGTTCGCATTTGAGTTTCATCCGTAGAGTGTACTCTACATACTCGCACAAAATGAACTGTCATGCTGTCTGTCACCGTGTCGTGGGCCGCTGGTCTATTTGCTCTCCTCAGCAGGTCATTCCCCTCGACTTTTTTCTCGTCACTGTTCACGTCTTGGTTTGTTCTTGTCTTCTTATTCCTTGTTGAGCTTGAAGGACATCACAACCGATTTACGACCAGTTAAGCGACGTGAGAATTACTTCAGTGTTTCTAGGGTTCATTACAGGTTGGTTCTTCTCCAGGTTCTCACGTCGAAGGAAAGGAGAGGAACTGCAAAGAAACAGGAAAGGGACAAGGAATAGCAAAAGGAAAAGAGTCTCAAAGCGGAAAAGACACATAGAGAAACAAACAACGCAAAAAGTCAACTAAGGGAAAGGGATTGTGAAAAGGAATTTGCAAAGAATCATAATTTGCAACACAAACAAGTACTCCAGCAAGTCTTAGACACAACTAAAAGAAGTAGAGATGTCGAGAGAAAGTAGATTAGAGTCAGGTTTCTACGTTAAGAATGGGTGGAGGGGGCTGTGGGAGGGCCTAGCCCCAAGAACATCTTCATTCTCACGCAGCCACAGGTCAGCGAGGTCTGTGGATGTACAACAGAGGCATAGTTTAGGCTGCTCACTACTAGCCCCAAAAATACACGAAAAATTGTATGCAACACCCGAGACAAAGCCGGAAAAGGTAAAGACCGGAAAGGCGCATTAGCAAAAAAAAACGGAAAGGCAAAAAAAAACACATAGATTCCACCAAAAACCTTGTCACATAGGCGCCCCATACGTCACTCGCTGGTTTCCTTCCTTCTTTCCTTGTTTCCTTCGGATTCCTTCGCGTCCGTCCTACCAGAAACCTGATACAAACTGAAGGGCACTTTGTGAACATTCTTCGCACGGACACCCTGGTAGGACACTCTCAGGGCTACATGCGCAACATCACGGGCTCGACACCACTCCTCGACACCGCAAAACAAGTAGCGATGCACTTGTTCCTAGTAGCTTCTTGTTACTACTAGTAAGGCACTT